ACAAAAGGGTTACACGCTTGGAGGGTTTAGTCGGCAAGGGTGCCCACACTTAGGAGGAGGCTAATGCTGCTGTTGAGGACGATGATGATGTGGAGGACGATGATGTTGAGGAACCAGATTGACACAAGGGTTCTGTTTTTTGAGGGGGTCAAATTTTCGAAATAGTTTATAATGAAGGTCAAATTGATAATTAATTATTAATAAAGGGTTATAAGGATCAAAAAGCCGCACAAAACAAGTTGAAAATTGAATCTGAACATTAACTTTGGAGGGACCCACAATAATTAAATGGAGTGATTCTTCCTAACATTAGCACTTTAGCAGACGAGATCAGGTACTAATAAGCATAAGAAAGTAATAATTTTAAAATAAGAAAAATAAAGCATGGCCAGGACTTGATTTGAAATTACTGCAAAAATGGAGAAGTGGATAGAGAGTGAGGAAGTCATTATCGCTTACATCAAAATGAGTACATGTGGGAAAGATCAACAATGGTGGTGCAAGTTTGCCAAGGCTGATCAAAAGGAAATTATCTGGTGGTTTGATCATTCACAAACAGAGGGCGAACTTCGAGATGCGGTGGCGGATTTTTCTTGTCCGCAGAATGCTGACGGTGATGAAAGATACTGCTACAGTGGCAAAGGCACAGATCCGACACTCCACTTTAATGGCACTTCATAGTGACGGTCACTCTTTGCTCCCAGCACTTCATTCAGTGAGCAAATGGGGGTTGGTGTGTAAAGACCAAAAAACTTGAGTAGTGAAAGTTGGGATTTTTTAAGATGAGTGAGAAGACATTCCCACTTCTTGTTATGTAGGGATTGGGTGTTTAAACAAAGCTTAACACATTTGATTGGCAGTGTCCGTTTATGGTACTTAAGTTGCTTCAAGATATGTTCATATTGGCACGATGGGAGGAGATTATGGAGTTCATGGATGTTTTCTGGCTCCCATCTCTTATTGGAATGTTGTGTATTCTGACTTGATTCTCTATCAGGTTGAAACACTTATAGTGGGAACTTATCTCCAGATGTCCGAAAAATAAACATAATGATGTCTGTTTTATTTTGATGAAATTGGTAGGAAATTACCACCCTTATGTAATAAACTACTACTATTCGGTAATAGGAACTATGCTGTTTATGGCAACGTTATTAAAACCGACCCGATCCTTGATCCGGTTGAGATATTGAGTCAGTGGGTCACTGTTTCAACCGCATGACTCGGTAATTATATACAATTTTATAATTTATATTAAAAAATTATAAACATACTCAAATATCTAAAATAATGATAAAACTTTCAAATATTTTAATATAAAAAATAATAAATCACATATTATTATCCAATAAAAAATCAAACAAAAATATAGTGATCGTGATACGGGACTTTAGGTTCAGAAAACGACATCTCTAATTATAAATCAAATCAAAATTTTCTGCATAGTGCATAATTGAGATAATATTAGTGTTGTAGGTACATAACTTACGTAAGTCAATAAGAAAAAAAATATTCAAATATGTCCATTATGATTTTTTTTGAAAAAACAAGATTGGAATATTTTTTTTTTTTGACCGGGTCGAGTCACCGGTTAACCGACAGGGTCACCGATTTTCATGAAAATCGACCGGGTCGGACCGGGTTGCACTGGTTCTGATGCATAGCCGGTCCATTGCTTCAACAGGACCGATTATATGATCGGTATATCGATTCCCGGGTCGACCTGGCCTGGTCGATCCAATTTTCTTAACACTGGTTTATGGGAACACCACGGCAATCTATTATGAATATTGTATGATATATTATGCTAGTTTAGTTATTCCACACTTTATTCAGTTACAATTACAGTTTTGATTTGTTTATAAATACGAAAAAAGTTTTAAGCACTAAACCTACGTTTTAAGAAGACAAAAAAGTTAAAATGTATTTAATTCAACTTTTGTGATTGTAACTGTACTTAATATCATACATAATGATAATAAATTGGTTCTAGAACTCGGTATTATAATTAAGGGAAATCAATTGGTCATGTTGCAGGATCAATCGATAATTTCCTGGACTCATTAAAAATGGGCTCCACATGATTTTATTTTTTTTAATTTAAGTGGGACTCATGTATTTTTCTCTCGTCCGCAGGACACAACACTCTTCCAGTCACATGACGGACGATTTCCCCTATAATTAATATATAAAATTGGGTTTAATCATATCTCGTATATATATGTGACGATTATTTTATATTTATATAAATTACACGTTTAAGATTGATTCCAAATGAATTTCATATGTATAAAGTTTAGGCAGGCCGAAATAACATTGTTTGGACTATCCGATAATGCTTTGCGCATGGGTTATCTAGGGTGGGACAACCTTAATAACTGTACTAGATGGCTGGCTTATTTGGAATATCTGGCATGGGAATTTATAGAAATCTTCTCAAAGTTCTCTAACTTTTTTCGGTAAAGTGGTTCACGTTAAATAATTTTTATCGCTTGATTTGGGAACATTGAACCTCTCTTTCAGTCTTCTGAAGATAAAAAAGTTATCATTTTAGTTTTCTAAATAATTATGAAGTTAGTTGAAACCTAAATTATAAAGTGGTATCGATTTAATCTCTCAATTATACAAAATAATATCAGTATAGTTCACCCATCATACAAATTCAACATCAATTTAATCCTTCACTTATAGAAATATAGTAATTTAAATCCTTAGCCTCCAAGGTAACCAATTGGAAACACTTCATGAACATCTCCACTTGGATATTGGTCAGAATTTGTTTCTCATTCTTATAATGGGTTAAGAAAAGTGTCCTACACATGTGCATAAACCAGCTTTAACCTATTATTTGAATAGCTTTTCTTATAATTAGCACTACTTTTAGCAACAGATTTTTCTTCTTTTCTTTTTTTTATAACGATAAGGGGCAGGGCCCTGCAACAGATGTTATACTTGCATTTGTTATACTTCGACAGAAAAGGATGTCAGTAAAAAATTGATGCGAATCGCATCATTAGTGTTTGAGAATAGGGTTCGTTTTTTCTGCAGGTACTGCAGATAAGTTATCTTCAGTAAGTTCAATACGACGTCGTTTTAAAACGGAAATCATGGTGTTTTTGTAATTTTAATTTATTTCAGGGTTATAATAGTCTTTCCATTTATAATTTTTTAAAATTTCAATACAAAACGACGTCGTTTTGGAAATAAATGCAGATAAATTATGTGCATTAACTGCAGAAACATTTTTCCCTTGATAATAATATAAATCATTAAAAAAATACTCACCTAATAGTTTAAGTTTTTGGGTTGAATTATTTCTTTATGATATCTGAACTTAAGGCTTTGTTTGGAAGTTTGGAGAGGAAAGAAAGGAAAAGGTTCCAAGGGGAAGGGAGGGAAAGGAAGGGAAGAAAAATTTGTTACATAAATGTTTTTCGTCAAAAGTTTTTACGAAAATTTTTCAATGAAAATGCGTTTGTTAAAAATTTTGACAAATATGTTGTATTGTCAAATTTTTTGAGGGAAATATTGACAAAAAAAAAATTCTGTCAGAGTTTTTTACAAAAATATTTTTCATTGAAAATGTTGATGGAAAATTTTTCCATAAAATAATTTGACAGAGATGTTTTTTGACAAAATTTTTTAAGAAATTGTTTTATTTTCGACTGAAATATTTTTCCTTCAAAAGTTTGAAGGAAATATTTCCGTTGAAAGTTTCAACGGAATTTAGATTCTATTAAGAATTTTGACTGAAATTTTTTCTGAATTTTTTTTGTCATTTATTATGGCCAAATCTTATTTCGTCTCTATTTTCGACGTAATGTGATTTTTGTCAAAAATTTCGTCCCTATTTTCGACGAAATATTTTTCATCGATAAATTCTGTAGGTATTTGAGACTTTTCTAATAATGTTACATTTGAAAATGATTCTCTTTCATGTAGTTTTCATATTTTTATGCTAAGGGTAGATAAGTAATTTTCAATATTTCCTCCCTTAAACCTTCAAATTGGGGGAATTTTAATTTTAAGGGTAAGAAGGGTTTTGGAAGATTTTGCAAAAATCCTCAATTCCCTTCCTCCATTTTTTTAAACTCACAAACAAGGGAAGGGATTCATAAAACTCTCTCATTCCTTTTCTTCCCCCTTCAAAAATCAACTCCCAAACAAAGCTTAAGTTACTACAAAATCATGAGTTCAATCACCGTGCCCACTTTTTAGTTGAATTAAATAAAGCACAAAATAAACTAAAAATTAGACCTGTGCAATATCTACGTTTCAAGCCCAAAGACTCTTGCGTGAGGAAATTTATTATAGAATAATATAAATAATTAAAAAAACCTTCACATAACAACTTAAACTTTTGGATTAAATTGGTTCTTTACATAAAAAAAAAAAACCCAAGATAAATCTTCAAAACGAAAGCCCTTGAAGGAAATATTTTAATAGCTCAAAATATTTTCTAACAAAGAAGAAAAAAAAAACTCTAGTGCAGCATTTGTTTGAATTTTGTTTTAGAACCCCTTTCATCATTTACCCATCACTTCCATGTATTTAAGATGAAACATGAAAAATGATTAACTAACGTTAAATAAAACGTACGAAACACGACACTTCAAAAACCGCAACGTGTCGTGTCCAACACTTTCTGACACTCCTCGACACTCCAACGCGCATTGTAGAAACTCAAAAAAAAATTCAAAAATTGCGTTGCGTTTTTAATTTTAACTATTAAATTCGTTGGATTACTATTATCATTTTATTGAATTTAATATAAATATTTATGATATTTTATGTTTCTTTGCAAAATTAATAGGTATTATAAGTTTAGCTTTATTTTTTTCTTAAATTATTGAATATTAAATATAATATACGCAACATAAATTAAAAATATTATTTAATATCAAAACGAACGTGTTAAAATCTAACATTTTTAAAATTAACGGGTAAGAGTGTCATGTCTCGTGTAGGTATCAGTGCTACGTAGAATAAAATGTCTACAATCAAGAAAATAAAGAAGCCACTTCATTAAAAAAAGTCTTTTTAACATTATATTGTACCCAAGACCTTCCTCTGGGTTTACAATGAGGTTAGATGTCCCAGAAAAACATAATTTTGGCTCATCCTTTTATTCTATGAATGCAGAACTCAAGCGCATTTGGCCAGATATGCATTCCATCCTTGAAGACGGTATTCATGAGCTGCCTCAGCAGGATTTGCTGCTTTGATGATTCCACGTCCCACAATGATAATGTCACTGCCCCTGTCATGGACAACCTGGAAAAACGTTTGGTGAATTGTCAAGAAGAGTTTTGCTCCAATATAAGAAGAGTAAGAAAATTGTCAAAAACAGCTGCAAAGAGCAGAAAGATGATGAAAGAAATACTGCTTTAATGCATATTCTATACAAGAAAATTAAGGGGTTGGATGGGACAGCTACCCTCTCTATACCACAACCAAGTTATCTTAAGGGAAAGATATGACATAAAATCAACTTGCCAAAAATCAACATAGAATTTTTTAAACACAAAAAGATGTTTTGAACTGTAGAAATAAAGTGGGACCAAAGAAAAAAAGTCTTAGTATGAAGGCCAGAGAAACAAATTAGCTTACCAAGGTAATCAAACCAAGAATTCAGTTCTATAGTAATTGTGACGTTCTTGTATTTGCACCAGAATATCCATAATGCCGATGTTATAATTTGAAGTGCAAAACCATATTTGATGATATCTAATTACTAAGACAGTATAATAACTCTTTAATCCTGCTTCATTTTCATTCTCAATGCAGAAAGTAAAGGGCTATGGTCCTGTATGCTCTTAGAATTGATAAACTAGTCAACCCTCCCTCTCCCTTTTCTTACCTTTTTACCTCCATGAAATTTCTTTTCAACCTAAGAAAGTACAGCTAATAACAGCAAAGCAGTTTTGCACATCTTTATCTTCAGCATATGATTGAAAGATGCATGGCAACAAGCAGAAACTTACAGAATATGGAGTGTTATATTGCTGCCCCAAAGCATCGCCACCAATCACCATTTGAACTCCAGGAGTTGCCTGAATGAAAGAAGGATTTATGGGTGCCCCGGGCCATGACGCTGGATTGACTGAGATGAAGCCAATCACAAAGTCAGAATGATCCTCCGCAATTTTCAATGCAGCAGCGGTATAATCTCCCTTGGCGAGGTTACCGGCGGAACTCATTTCAGCTAACAACAACAAACCCCTACCATGAGGCAAACCCTGAGTATGGTTCAAGAAATATGTTAGGCTATCAATTGAGGTCTCACCATCGTAAACAATGAAAATGACTACCATTACAGACCTTCAATTTTAATCCATCTACAATTCCAGGACCAGAGATTATGTGAGCATTGACTATGTGAGCCCAATCCAATATATGAAAGATCCCTCTGCAGATAATAGAATAAAATGATGTCATGTTGAATGCAGACATAGAAGGGTATCCAGAAAAGGAATCCAAGATAGTTGAGCACAGTCTTACCCTTCATATTGCATGGTCACTGTGTTACCAATGTCAGCAAATTTACGATCCTCAAAGATTAAGAAGTTATGTTTTTCTGCAATCTTCAATAAAATAAAGCATACATTACACACAACTGACCAGATGTAATAGATTCCTTAAAATTTATCACACATGACAGTCATACTCGCATACAACACTCTTATCATGGGTTAAAGGCAGGAAATCATCATTCTGTTTAAATAAATGCAAACAAATCTTTTAGTGTACTAGTGTCAATAATATCAGGAAGGAAAAATTCATTGTGCAATCCTGAAAGTCATATGAACATAACAGGGCTTCTTTTAGCACTATACCGAGAGAAGCTTAGAGCCAAAATCAGGGGTAAAATCTGGAAAAATATCCACATGAGTCTTCAGCAAGCATATCTCAGGTCCAACCTGACAGAGAAAACCAGCCAAATTAGTTCAAAGAAAATTAATCATTATGGCCAAACTTCTAAATACAATCCAGTTAATGATAATAAGCTAGAGACAGGACAGGACTCTTTAAAGTACATAAACTAAATAAGAATAATTAAAAAAGAAATATATTCTACAAGCTGACGACCCAAATGAACAAATTAGAACATGTCCCTAAAACAGATTTCCTCAATGTAATGGGAGTATTTCCTAAAAGAACTACCAAGTTCTCACCTTCTCAGCAATTTCAAGCAATTCAGCTGCAGTTCCAACATCTGCAGCCAAACACAAATTACTCTTCTTCTCAGCCATTATCTCAAACAGTCTCTTTCCAGTTGGATTCTTGGACAGCTTAGCCCTCTCCCCAAACGACAAAGCCTTGACCGTAGTTGCAGGCTTCTCCACCTTTGTCAAAGCAGCAACCTTGCGATTCTCCTCTAGGAATCTCGTAACAGTCCCTACCATCTCCTCATCAAGTTTCCCATGATCCCTCAAAATCTTAACCATTTCACTCAACTTAATAATAGCATGCAGCTTGACGCCATTCTCCTCCAAATTCTCCCTCCCACCTTGCTCCCTATCGATCAAAACAACCGCATCACTGATCTTCAACCCCACAGCACGCAGCGGCGCAGCAGTTTCCAAAACCGACGTGCCACTGGTAACTAAATCCTCAATTATCAAGCAACTCTGGCCAGGATTGAAATCACCTTCAATAGCCTTGGCAGTGCCGTAGTCTTTGACCTCCTTGCGGCGCATGACCATGGGGATGTTCTGAGTGAGAGATACACATGTGGCAATGGGTAAGGCTGTGTAAGGGACGCCACAAACAAGGTCAAAGGAAGTGGAAGACACAGAGGAAATTAGGGTTTGAGATATTTGCTGAAGGAGTGAGGGGTATGATATAATGAGGCGAAGGTCTATGTAGATTGGTGAGGAGATTCCAGATTTGAGCTTGAAGTTGCCAAATTTAACAGCTGAAATCTCATGAAGTTGAAGAACTAGAGACTCTACCAATGATGATGTTGACATTTCCTCACAGATAATGTTCCTTTCCTGTGTCATTCAGTGTCATCACACTCATCAATTAAAAATTTTGAAAAAAAAAAAAGCATGGAAATGCAAAAAATGCATAAGATATTTAGGTACCGGTTCTGAAATTTTAAGCATTAGAATGAAAATCATAGCATAGACTTCATGATAATCATAATCAACATCATAGATTTAGGCAACTCCTAAAACATACATAAAGCAGAAAATCTGACTATCGCTTAAAAAATGAAAAACTACAAAGTGCATTACAAATTCCAAATCGAAGATGCCAAATCATATTTTAACGAACCAAAATATTAATCAAGAGTTCAAAGCATCATTCTCCATACCCAAAAAAAGAAACCATATATCAGACAAAAAGTTAAAGAGTTATGAAAAAATAAAATAAAATAAAATGCAATCTACCTTTTAAAATATACCAATAGTTATGAAACGAGATTGTGTGGGTTAAAAATATACCAATAGTTTTGAATCTCCAGGAATTCAGAAAAAACAACTGCCAGCTTTAAAACCCAAATGATCGCAACAGCAAGCAACCCACAAAACAAGATCAGATTCGCATGAATCACAGGGTCAGAAAAAGGTGAAATTTACAAGAATCCAAAAATGGGTTTCACTTGAATCAGAATGGAGCACGAAAAAAAAAAAAAAGGAGAATGGAGCAAAATAATCAAAAGGGTCAGCGAAGAATGCAAAAGGGTTGAAGCTACATACCTCGTTTCTGAGTGCAGAAGGGTGCAGAGGAGAGAAGGAGACAAGGGTGGGACAAGATTCGATGAGCCTTTACGAGGTAAACTGTGAGTTCGTATAAGGAACAGGGCCTCTGGTGTGAGTTGGGTGGGAGTGATTGCGTGTGACAGTGATACGATGATCAGTGCGAGGGTTGCACTTCGATGATACTCACACTGCGTGCCGCTGCGTGCTTTTCATGCGGCGACAGTGCCTATGAGAGCAGAACAACAACAACAATAATAGTTTTTTTTTTTTTTTTGGACTTGTTTGGACCATAGTGAGAGTTCTAACAAATTATTTTGTGAGGTATATTAATTTTTTTTTGAGATATAAAATTTAATAAATTTTATAAGATTATTTAAAATTGTAGTAATTTTAAAGACTTTTTTTACCATCAAAATTTTATAAGATTGGATTTTAATATAATTTATAAAATTTGAAAGAATAATATGGATTTATAAGATTTTAAAAAATATATAAATTTTTAACAAACATTCAAAATTACATGACGAAATCGTTTTGAGGTTAAGAAAAAATTACTTTTATAATTTTAATTTATTCCGGGATTATATTAATCTTTACTATTATAATGTTTTCTCTCAATCTCGAAACGATATCGTCTTGGGCTTATTGGAGATAATTTTATCCCCAATGATCGGAACCTATATATATATATATATATATATATATATATATATATATATATATATATATATATATATATAAGTTGGCTTTAATTTTTTTCAGTGAATGCAGATAAGTAATCTACATTCACTCTTAAAACGACGTCGTTTTGAGTTAAAAGATTAAAATTATAATGACAAAGATTGTTATAACCTTGCAATAAATTATAAGAGTTCGCCACTTCTGTAGCGACAACATATGAGACATTTCATAGAAAACATATTTACATGTGGATCCTGGCATCTTATATTCTAAGGTTGTGTTTGGTTCACGACTTTTACTTAGTATCCCAGCAAAGTGCATGTGAGTAACTGAGTTCTCCACGTTTGGTTGAGGGTTTACCCAAAATTTAGCCATCAAAGTTCCTTCACCAGCTATCTGCGTTTTAGTGTAAATGAGGGCAATTTCTACTGTTGAAGAAACCCTTTTCAACCATGATATTATTCAATAATACCGGACAACTTGAAAAGGGAACAAAAAATTTGACAAAGTTACCCCTCAAGCCTCCATCCTTTCACTTCTTACGACTTAAAAGCACCACCAGACAAAATTATTTCCCATTCAAGCACCACCACGAACTGATACTAATATATTCACAAACCAATTAAGTTTTCATGCAAGAAAGCTAAAGACTTTAAAAAAAAAATACAATGTTCTAGGTTCACATATGAACAGCCAAACCTATGGGTGATATTTTAAATGCATAAAAATGAGTTCTAAAGTCTTGAAACTCAAATTTGGTGCACAAGACAGTCACCATACACAGATAACAAACCAATAACAAAGTTAAAAGCATCACTACCAGGTACCACAAACACAAAATCAGAAACTTCCAATCAAGATTAAACTTTTCATATAAACGAGTTTTTAACAAATACAGGGTTATTTCAATTGGGGGTTCTTTTGTAATTTGATTAAATTTTTCCATCTATATTTTATCTTCAACCAAACACACATTCAGTAATTTAACTCAATTTTTCTGGTAAAATTTTGCCCAACCAAACAACATTTTTTAAACTTTTCTATATAACTCACTTTCCCCTTAGATACCTAGTAATTATATTTCCCTAGCGAAATTTTTTTTCTCCTAAACCAAACACTACCTAAGAGAAACCCATTCTTTGGCAAGTATGCTAACATGTCACTTTCTCCTTCACTTTCAGCTTTGTGTTCACACTACAAAATATTTAAAACCTTTCCTTCTTTGGTAAAATCAGTAAATAGAAAAATAAAAAATAAAATCGAATTTGTAATTAATAAAATATGTTGGTGGAAGATGTAAGAACCCGCACCGTTAAATAAGGAATTTAATTAATTAATTAATTATGCAAAATTAGGAAATGATTCCATAATTGACCTTAATAATTATTAAGAGGCTTTAATAATTATAGTAAGTGATTCAGAATGCTGAAAGTCGCTTTTCAGAAGAAAAGTGCAGATACCGGTTCTGCTAGTCGGTATAAATGCGTACCGAAAAAGTATCCCGGAAAATTATAATAAGTGCATGATAATTACTAGAATAATATATAGGACTTATAAAACGAGTTTCAAGTCCAAATAATGAGAACTGGTGCCAGAAACTGATACTGGCTATGAAAAGCGCGTACCGGAAAGGTGCTCCGAAAAGTATAAGAAAAATATGATAATTCTTGTAAAATTGAGTGGGTTAAGAATCCAAAGTTTGGGATTAAAATGCTAAGCGTAGCAATAAAAGCTAATACTGTGTGTTTAAGTGTGTTTGGGCTATAAATACTCTTATTATGGGCACAAAACCCTAGGATCAGATTTCTATACGTGAGTTTGGGGCTGACCATCTGCTGGTTACTGTTCCATTGGCCTTCCCTTCCATTTCTTGAGCCAAGTTGTGATCTTTCTTGATTTTCTTCATATTTCCTCCTTGTAAACACTTGTGGGTGACTTTGTGAGGGTGAGAGATAGCTTTGTCTTGGTGTTCCAACTACTGTGTTTGAGGGTAGTAGGCTGAGTTAGTGAGCTTGAGTTGGTTGAGCCTTTGTTAAGGCATTTTGAGCTACAAATTATCACCTTTGGGGAAGAAAGAACTCATCTTGTTGAGCCATTTTCGTTTTCCTTGGAAGTCAGAAGTGTTGGAGCTGTTTGGAGAGCTCTAAGAGCCATTGTCTTTCTGTTTTGAGCTTTGGTATGTTGTACCAACCTTTGATCATGAGTTTAATGCTTAAAAATGGAACCTTGATGCATCTAAAGGCTAAAAGATGATAACTTAACGTTGGGTGATGCTTAACACATCTAGAAATGCATGTGTTAGTGTCTAAAATCGGTAAAAACCCAACCTTGGAAGGATATCTTCACGAAATGCAGTTTCTGCATTCTGTCGTGAAATATCCGGATATCTGCCTGTGAAATATCCGGATATTTGATATCCGAATATGGGATTTGGATATCCGGATATTGGATATCCGGATATAGGAATCTGGATATCCGGATATTGTATATCCGGATATGGTCAGTGAGATATCCGGATATTGCATATCCGGATATGCTCCGAGGAATATCCGGATATTCTGGGATTTCGAAGAACAGTAGCTGTGCTGTGAGGACAGTAGGCTATTGGGGGTTTGTGGACCCTAGAGTGATGAAGTTGAACTTCTATAATTAATGAACTAAGTCAGAATCATGTGATTAAGGGCTTGTGGCTTTGTTGGAAGCCTTAAGACGTAAATCATTAAAGGAGAACGTAGTCTTTATGTTAATGCTTTTGAGCTATGTATGTTGATACACTTGCTGGTCCTAAATCAGATTATGATCTGCTGTGTGTTGGACTTGAGCTGTGAGGACTCTTGGCATTGGATAGTGAGCTTGCAAGGTAAGCTTTCGTGTCCTCGGTTTAGCCATGTTATGGTTCCACCATGTCCCATGGGGGTACGGTTATATGCATGCTGTGTTACATGCTTTTGATGTTTTGGAAATGTTGTTGAGTTGTTATGTGCAAATGCCTTGTTGAAATGCATGGGGTGTTCCACCTATACGGTAAGCCTGAGTATGTGGTACATACAATATGGTGAGGCTGTGGGTGAGGTGCAAGCGGTGTTCCTTGTACTACATGTAGGTGATAGACGTATTCCTGCATTTCTCTGGCCAGTAGAATAGTGATAAACACACATGGCATGAATATCTATTGCTATGCATAGTTTTGGAACTTATATTGATATAAATGCTTTTAAAACTTATATTGCACATGTAGGTGAGCTTGGGGTGGAAGATCCTTGAGGACCCCTTGTCTTACTGAGATTTCTTGTTTAGAGATCTCACCCCATGTTTGGGAAATGCTTATTTCAGGGTCAGGTAATGTTGAGACCTCAGGCGGTAGGAGGCCGGAGCTGAGTTAGATATTGATGATTTTATATGCTGACTTGTTGGATGCTGGATTTGCATGCTGCTTTTATGCTTTGAGCTTCATTTCATGCTTATGATTATCTGGTTGAGACGCTGTTAATTTGGTGAGCATAGGGATTGTCCATGACACATAGATTAGGTCTGTCTTAGTTTTATTTGGAGTTATAATAATGTATCAGGATATTGTCCGGATTACGTGATGTAATGTCGTGACTTAGATACTCACTTTATTTATATATTGAGGTATTTCAGTAGATGTCTTATTGCAATTTAAATTCAGGAGACATTTTATGAAATTGATTAAGTAATCAAGTTAGTAATTGATAATGACGTCATAATTGAAAAGAAAAAGAATATTCCACATTTTTAATTAAGCGTAGCTTAATACGATGTAATGATAACACTACCAGATATATACGGGGTGTTACATTTTATGGTATCAGAACAACGGTTCAAGGGAAAAGCCTGTATATATTGCAATGATTAGGATGTCTGGTTGTGTCTGTTTTGTGTGTTTGCTCCGTCGAGTATTATTATGATAATGCATATGTGATCACATTGCGTGGGCCTGATCAACTCATAATTTGTGTAACTTGTGCAGAGTCATGGTAAGACCCGGGAGAAACCGCGAGACTTCGGAGGATCAGCCCGATCCTATCCTGGCTGCATTGGCTGAGATGCAGACGATGCAGACCAGGAGGCCATGAGAATGGCAAACCAGGCCATGCTGGACGCCGTCAGAGAGGCGAACAGGAAGGCCACTGAGGACGTGTTGGAGGCCAACCGTCTGGCGAACATGACGATGTTTAGAGTCATGTTGGAGGAGATGAGGAATGGTCCTGCTGTTGGCCATGTTCCTCCGCCACCACCACCACCTCCACCCAGTCTGTAGGATGACTCTCAGATGGGTGATGGCAGTCACCTTACGGGGGCTATGCAGACCGTCCCTATTTTTGTTGAGGATTAAGATGAGATTGATCGCCGGCTGAATGCTTTCCGTAAGCATAAGCCACCTGCCTTTGATGGATCCTTTGATCCTGTTGCTGCGGCGTGTTGGCTACAGGCGTTGGACAAGATATTTCGGGTCATGCAGTGCACAGATCCGCAGAAGCTGATGTTCGCTACTTACATGCTGGAGGGCGATGCCCATGAG